AAAGAAAAAAGGAAGGGTTGGGGGGAAGTCGAGAGATGAATGAGACATTAGCGCCGTCTATTACCTCAAGTCGAATCCTCCTATTCAGCTTCCTGGTGGGCAGTTTGGTTTGGCAGATAATTGAAAGGATATTAGGCATTGTCAGCATCAACAGACTTAGCAGACTTCCAAAAACTTAGCAGACTTTGACCCAGGTAGGACTTGGTCAAAGCAAATTTGGTTTTTTTTTTCTGTTTTGGCCATCAGCAGATTTTGTTTCTAGAAACCATGAGACTCGGTCAAAGCAAAGTTTAATACAGCATCTGACGTGAACTCATATGTCAACGAGCATCTCCCACTTGAGCTTAATGTCAACGAACATCCCCTAGACACATAGGGCACAATTGTACATTTACACGGTCGGCAACATACAGCCAGGTCTATTAACGACACGAGCTTGATGTCAACGAACATCGCCTAGACACACATGTACATTTATGCAAGTGGGCATCATACAGCCAGGTGTCTTCGTTAATAAGCAACAACAGAAGTTCATATTCAATTGGTTTCATACCAAGTTTTCGTTCTAATAATTTTTCTTCAAATTTTAGTGTTTGAATTTAAATAATTAAAATTTTAACTTTTATCAACTATTTAAAAAATTCTCTCCTCCCCTATGATTCCCCATGTTTGAAAAAAAGAAAAAAATAGGCTTCCTTTTGCCGCTACAATATCGGGTAAGGTGAACCATAAAATCAGTTTATGATTTGAATCGACCTGCAAGACACCTACCTAAGTTCTCTTTTTCCGATTCAATATGGTAAAATTTATTTTTAACCCTTTACTTTAATAAATTTATAGATTTTAGTCTCTCATTTTATATTATAACATTTTTAACCCTCTACCTTAATAAGTTTGTAAATTTTAATTTCTTACCTTATATTATGACACTTTTAGCTCATTTATCCATACAAATTGAAAAAATAGCCTTCACTTAACATCGAGTTATAATGTTTTATTAATTTTGTTAATTAATTGTTAGTTCTGTTAATTGACTGTTAGCATCTATTAGCATTCCATTATATAAAATATAAAATTTAAATTTAATTTTATTTGTTTGTTTGTTAACGAAATGTATGTTAACAGAACGCTAATAGTCATCTAACAGAATTAATAGAATATTATAATATGACTTTAAACAGGGGTTATTTTCTTCAATTAGTATAGATGAAGGGCTAAAAGTATATTAGGTTAGGAGTTAAAACTTACAAACTTATTAAGGTAAAAGGTTAAAAGTGTCATAATATAAAATAAAGTACTAAAACTTACAAACTTATTAAGATAAAAGGTTAAAAGCATGTTTTAACCGATTCAATACATGGTATATATTAAATAAGGAGACTTATTTAAACAGTTATTAGATATGAATAAATAAAAAATTTTATTAATTAATTATTATATTTTTATTTTATTAAAAAAATAAGTATACTAAAATTAAAGAAAGAAAGAGAATATTAAAAATTCAAATTCCATTCTCCCGAGTGTCTGTTTTTCACCTTATTTTATGTTTATTGGGAGTAAACATATTAGATTATTAGATTACTATTACTTATAATAGGGTATCTTTGGTTGCCATTTTCTTGGGAAAATATTTGCAAGAAGCTAAGCAAGAATTTGTAATTAGCTTGATCTACAATTATGGGCATGTTTAGTTACTAATGTCTCAAAAACAATATTTGGGGAAGCCACATAAAAAACCAACTTGGCTTCTATCACAAAAGGTTAACTTTTGGGCACAAAAATCAATGAAAAAAAATAGTTGATTATATTTGTTTTGTAATTGGTTATAAATGTTTTAAATGCAGTATAATCAATTAAACTGAAAAGTAATTGATTGTAGATTTGGGAAGGAAATTTTTAGGAGTTTTTCTTCAGGTAAAGCTTATCATACAATATAATTGCTCATATTGATTTATAATTAATTATTATCTAAAAAATTATTTTTATTTTTTATAACCAATTATTTTTTACCCTAATTTTTGATGAATTTTTCTATTGTATACCTTAAGAATACAGAATCAAAGTGCAATAAATATATCTTTACAAAATTAATTTTTATTAAAAGTATAAATATCGACTTTAATTTAATCAATTAATCAATTAAAATCAATTACATGTAAGTGATATTAAAATATATA